TGTAGTGTTTGGGGATTTCATTGGGCTGGTAGAGACAGTGTCCACTCCTCCAAATGGTTTCTCCCTCTGCATTGACAGCTGCTTCTCTAAGTTACGTGCTGCGGAATGCACAAAGGAACCTGCATAGAGAAAATACCATTGTCAGCAATCCAAGACAAAAGAAAGTAAACTTATATAAACGTGAACATATGCTAAAGCTGTTTAAGGAGAGGCAACTGCCATTATCAACCACATGTCCCAGCACCCTGTAGATCCAAAGACAAGGGCAGCTGAACTTATATGCAAAAATACTTTTCTTGTAAATGTCATACTTGGCTACATGTCTCCATCCTTTTGAACATTCCTTTTGGTAAATTAGGCTGCCCCTCAATTTAAATGAATAAACAAGGAGGTTCATACAGCAAGATACACCACCCGCTGTCACAGGGAGGGGGGAATCGGGGGAGAGGCAAGAGCTGGACATGTTACATGTTCCACCCTAATAAGGGTGGATCATTTTTTACATGTTCTAAAGGTGAACTTAGCCTTAAATTATATATTTGCAATGTAAAAAAAGGTTTAAGTGTACAATAACAGCCAGACATTGGACAAAACCAATTTGTGGGCTGAACCAATGATTTATAGAATACAACCTTGAGTAACTGTGATAATTTAGCAATAAATGATATCCTAAAAAAATGCTGTTACAGTCAACAAAATGACTGCCCTTGCTGTGTATGGACAAACACAGCACATTAACCATTAGCCGCCCGGCCAATGGCCGTTTAGCGGCTTCAAAAGTGTTGCTGCATTCCGGGTGCATGCCCCCCCATTTGGCGTGCTCCCGCACATGCGCAGTTTGCGCTAATGCAGAGCAGCGCGATCTGTCACCGGCCGTGTACCTCGGACACGGCCGATGACAGATCCGAGTATGGGCTCCCGTTCCTGGTACCATGTGACCTGCTGTGACCAATCACAGCAGGTCACATGACAGTTGTATACAATGGATGGCTTCATTCATGCCATCCATTGTATACTACTGCCTAGCTGTGAATGGTCACAGCTAATCACATGCACATGACATGTGATTAGCTGTGACCAAATCACAGCTAAGCACAAAAAAAAAAAAAAAAATTGAATTAATCGATTTCATTCAGGTAAATGCTTGCTTATAGCAAAGTAATTCTTTGCTATAAGCAAATTGTGCAAAAAAAAAAAAAAAAAAAAAAAAAATACTGATCACTTCCCCAAAGTAGTACAATGTTACTATGGTAACATTGTACTACTTTGGTCATAGTAAAATATAAAAAACAAATCTTAAAAACAATAAAAAAAGTAATAAAAAATTAAAAATAATAATAAAAAATTTAAAAAAAATATATATATTTTTTTTTTTTCATACAGTCACGAGTCAGTGTCCCTGTTCACTGCCATGCCAGTTATATGATGACGCTGTACTGCACTGGTGACAGTATGTAAAAAAAAAAATAGTGAAAATCATTTTTTTTTAATTTTTTAATTTTCCGAAAAATTATGACAAAAAAAAAATACAACTTCAAAAAACTCGCCATGCCTCTTATGAAGTACGTCGGACTGTCTACTCTGCAAAAAGGGGTCATTTGGGGATATCTGTACTATTCTGACATTCTTGGACCTCAAGAAATTAGATTGGCTGTCAGTACTTCAGGATTGATCAATTTTCAGATACATACCATAGTTTGTGAACTCTATAACTTTCCTACAAACTAAATAATACATCCTAATTTGGGTCATTTTCACCAAAGACATGTAGCAGAATACATCTCGGCCTAAATTTATGAAGAACAATTATTTGTAAACTTTTATAACAGAACAACAAAGAAAAATGTGTTTTTTTTCCAAAATTTTTGGTCTTTTTTTGTTAATTTAGCAAAAAATAAAAACCCCAGCGGTGATTAAATACCACCAAAAGAAAGCTCTAGTTTGTGTGAAGAAAATTATAAAATTTTAGTTTGGGTACAGTGTTGTATGACCGCGCAATTGTCATTCAAAGTGTGAGAGCGCTGAAACCTGAAAAATGGCCTGGGCAGGAAGGTGTAAAATTGCACGGTATTGAAATGGTTAATTCTGAAAAAGGTGTACTTGTATATGTTGTATTTTACACTGAGCCTTGTGTCTTACCACACATGTTCTGCAGAGCATCACAGGCAAAACAAGACATGACACATTGCATAGTTTTGCAGATGTCAAACTAAACAGTGGCAGAGGAAAGCCCACCTTGTAATAATTTTACCATACCTGTAGGATTACCTACAATATATGATCCATTACAATTTCAGTGGATGCCCATGGGTTCAGCTAACTAGCATCATGGGGGGGATTCTAGTCTACTATGGCCACTCTTCTAGCAAACATCACAGCAAAGTAGTGTACTTTTGTAGTACCGGCTAGACTAGCATTTTATTCCTACAGGAAATCCACCAATAAGCATGTGATTGGGGCAAGAGCCCAGAATACAAGGAAGATCCCGGTCCAAAGTATATAACACATGCCATATCTCAGAAACCAAGATTCACCTAATGTAGCAGCTTCCACTATTGGAATGGGTGCAGCAGCTTACATCATTTTAAATTAATGAACTGAGCCAGCATTTTTTACAGGATTAGCAAGGCCTTTTCCTGGTACAAAGTATAGCATTTTTTCTTGAAAAAAATGTGCTGTGAGCCCCCTTAAGAAATATTTTCCTGAGTAATATAGCACGTGTCCTATCCCTAGAAATCGGAAAAGCATTTGATTTGGTTTCCTGGCAGTATTTATTTTACACCCTTAAAAATGGGGTGAGTTTCCACTCTCTACTCCACCCTGCAAGCCTATGTGAAATATTAATGATTCAAATCCAATCTTTTTGATGTTGAAAGAGGCATATGGCAGGGATGCCTCATACATCCCTTTTGTTTGCTCTGGCAACTAAGTTCTTAGTAGAGCTAATCATAGAAAATCCCAGTATTAAAGGGGTCAATTTAGCTGGTCATTGGCATAAACTCAGTCTAAGTGCGGATAATGTGCTTCTTTTTTTTTAAGCTCTCAATACATACAAAGTGATTGAGCAGCCACTAGTTTTTGATAACATTTGAGGATTATTGTAGGCTAATGTTTTACATTTCTTAACCACCTCCAGCCCGCCATATAGTAATATGACAGGCGCAAGGTGGTTCTCTCGCTCTGGGAGGACGTCATATGACGTCCTCCCATTCTAACTGCGCATGCGTGGCTCTGGGAGTGCGCTGTGTGTCCCTCACACAGCGGATCACGGAAAGAGACGAAGATGTCGGCTCGGTCATGTGATCAGCTGTGTCCAATCACAGCTGATCACATGTAAACAGGGAAATGCCGGTTATCAGTATCTCTCTCCTCTCGAGCTGTCACGAGACAGCTCGAGAGGAGAGGAGAGCCGGTAATCAGCTTTCCGTGGAGGTTACATGTACACTGCTCATCAGGGCACTGATGATCAGTGTGCCCTGATGATCAGTGTGGCCCCAGCAGTGCCACCTGTCAGTGTCCATCAGTGCCTTATGTCAGTGCTCATCAGTGCCTCATGCCAGTGCCCATCAGTGCCTACCAGTGCACATCAATGCCACATATCAGTGCCCATCTGAGCTGCCTTTCAGTGTCACCCATCAGTGACAGTCAGTGCCACCGATCAGTGCTGCCAATCAGTGCCGCCAGTCAGTGCCACCTATCAGTGCCAGTCAGTGCTGCCTATCAGTGCCTGTCAGTGCCGCCTAACAGTGCCAGTCAGTGCCGCCTATTAGTGCAAGTCAGTGCTGCCTATCAGTGCCATGTATCAGTGCTGCCTTTCAGTGCCATCATCAGTGATGCCTGTCAATGCCCATCAGTGCCTCCTCATCAGTGCCACCTATCAGTGTCCATCAGTGCAGCCTATCAGTGCCCATCAGTGCAGCCTCATTAGCGCACATCAGTGAAGGAGAAAAATCACTTATTTACAAAATTTTATAACCAAAACTAAGAAAAAACATTTTTTTTCTTAATTTTCAGTGGTTTTTGGTTTGTTTAAGAAAAAATAAAAAACCCAGAGGTGATTAAATACCACCAAAATAAAGCTCTATCTGTCACAAAAAAATGATAAAAATTTCATATGGGTACAGTGTTGTTTGACTGAGCAATTGTCATTCAAAGTGCGACAGCGCTGAAAGCTGGAAATTGGCATGGGCAGGAAGGGGGTATAAGTGCCCTGTAGGCTAGTGGTTAAAGTGATATTAAAGGCAATTTAAAAAAAATAACAAAAACATATCATACTTACCTGCCCTGTACAATAGTTTTGCACAGAGCAGCCACGATCCTCCTCTTCTTGGGTCCCCTGCCAGAACTCCGCCCACCTGACTAGTGCCCCCAGAGCAAGCAGATTGCTATGGGAGCACCCAAACAGGCTCACTCTCGAGCCGCTGCTCTGTGTGTCCATTTACACACAGAGCCGTGGCTCGGCCCACCCCCTCTCTCTTTTTTTGGCTCACTGGCCCTGATTGACAGTAGTGGAAGCCAATGGCCAATGCTGTCTCAACCAATGAGGAGGGAGAGTCCCTGGAGAGAGGAAGCTCTCATGCACGTCGCTGGATCACGATGGGGTTTAGGTAAGTATAAGGGAGGTTGGGAGGAGCTGCACACAGAAAGTTGTTTTACTTTCATGCATAGAATGCATGAAAGTAAAACACCTTGAGCCTTAAAGACCACTTTAACCTCTTCACGCCTTCTGTACACAAATATGTGGCCCCACTGGACAGGGCTTTTATCCGTGGGGCCGCTAATTTGCATATCTGTCTTTGTGCTGGGAGGATGCTGCACGGCATGCTCTCAGCACAGAGATCGGGGTCTCACTGAAAGCCTTGGGACCCGAGACTTCCGATTCCAGGTTACCTGATCGCTGTGATAGCCTCTGATTGGCTATCACAGTGACCAGTCACTGTGAAGCCTGCCCCCTGCTTTCTCTCTCTGAATAGAGGAAAGAGATACATTGTATCTCTCTCTGTCCTTCCAAAGAGAACAAAAAAAAAAAAATTAGTGTGTAAAAAAAATAAATAAAAATAGCAAAAAAATAAAATTAAAACAAGGCTTGATCTAGGCCAGTGCCAGGGTTAATGTTTGGGTTAAGTCCAGGGTCAGGCCTTGTTTTGTTTTCGTCAGTTTTTTTACTATTTTTGGCCAGTTTTCCTTTGATAATAATAATTAAAAAAAAAAATCATCAGATATCCATTACCATTTACCACCAAATGAACACCCAAATTGTCCTGAAAACAACAAGGTAAAAACCACTTGGATGCACAAAGTAGTTGTGATGATATGTACGGTTTTGCTAACACTTATCAAAGTTGCAAAATTGTGACTAGGCGTTAAGATTTGTTTTACCCTTAGGCGCAAAGGGGTTAAAGTTCACCTGTACTCAGACTGTGGATATTAATGAATTTGCATATTCATAACAAGTAGTACAAGTAACAAACAAGGCTTTAAATTAAGCCATCACTGTCGAAGGCTGTCAGGTCATCAAGTCCCTGCTGCCAGAGAAAATAGGAAATACTGTATGTAAACATTTTAATGCCTTTAGTCTGGGCACAGGTGTACTTTAAAGTGTGAATGTGGACTGTGCCCATTGCATATGTTATTCATTTTCTTAAATATGTTCATATTATGGTAGCTGGTCTCAGACTGGATGTATTATGCACCACTGATGCCTAAAGGATAAGTTCACCTTTTAGAAAAAATATAAAATGCACATTTTTTTGCAGGTAAAAAAATATGCAATTATTATTTTCGTCTGCAGGAGCCTGTAAACCATTGCACCAGTGATCAGTAGATTTCTGGTGCTATGCAGGCTTCCTGCAGATGTGTCAGTAGATCTGCTTGCTGGTACCTGATGTATGAGCAAGCAGATATACTGACAGTGCCGTGGTAGTTCATTGAGGACTATAAGCTGATAAGCTGACAGCTGTTAAGGCTGTCGGGATTTGTAGTCTCTCATTCACAGATGACTTCAAATGAGTGATGCAGCCATGATCCCCACTAGCTGTCAAAGCGGGGATCGAGGGGGAGCGGGGGCCATTGGATCATAACATGTTACACCCTGAAAATGGGCGTAACATGTTACGAAAGGTGAACTTACCCTATAAGTTCCTTCAGTCTCTGTATGAACGGGTTAATCGAATAAGTAGAGTATATTTACAACATTCTGTGATATGGTACATCACTATATCATTTGAAAACACTGTGCATTGTAATTGGTTCTGACCTTGGTTGCTGTCTTTGGAAAAGCTAACAATCCTGGGGCTAGGCTTCCCTAGAGAGATCTCTGAACCGGACCAGTCATCATCACTATCCTCTTGAATCTGCTTCTGCATAGAAGAGACAGCCTGGGAGCTTGGGTTGCCTCTGTGTGCTGTAAAGCTGTAAGGAGGATGGTCAAAAATAGATGTCTCCTCTTCAGAGGTGAATGGGGGTGTTCTGGAGAGAATCACAACGTTTTAATCAAAGATGCTGTTTTCACACAAAATGTTTGCACACAAAATAAATTAAGATTGTTAATCCACACTGATTTACTAGTGGTTGCAAAGCTATTATTTTCAGCACAAAGTTGGATGTGCTGGAATTTAAAGTGGTTCTAAAGCCTGACGGTTTTTACCTTCATGCATTCTATACATGAAGGAAAAAAAACCTTCAGTGTGCAGTTTCCCCTTCAGTCTTCATATTCACCTGATCCCGATCCAGCAATGTGCACGACAGCAAAAGCTCTCCCTGGTCTCTGCCTTTTCATTGGCTGAGACACAGCAGCAAGAGCCATTGGTTCCCCCTACTGTCACTCACAGCGAGTGAGAGGGCGGCAGGGCCGCCGATAAGGGGGTAGCTCCAGGCCTCCTGTAGGCTTATAATCCTATAATCCATTAGTAAAATGTATTTTTTTCCTCAGCCGGAACCCCTTGCATTGCCGCTCATTGTAGTCACTTAAAAACACAGAAGCGCAGCTTCAGTATTTTATAAGTGACAGCGATCCCGGCGGCACAGTCAAACCCTCCCTTCTCTCCCTGCATATACAACAGAGGAGGGGACGTGGCAGAACGAGAAGGGGTGGAATGGGACTTGACTGAACGGGGCACACAGCTGTAGACTCGCACCTGCAGCATCATCAGAACCCTGAGCCTGCAGCATGACCTCCTCCTGTAAGTGACAGAACATTATTTTCTGTGGTGGAGAGGAGCATTGTGTACTGACAGAGAGAAGAGTGGGAGAGGGGCACTCTGTACTAGGCAGGGAGGAGATAACTGAGGGAGGGGTAAAAAATTTGGGGGATGAGCTCTTGGGGGGGGGGGGGGGAATCGTACAGTGGCATGTGAGATATGCACGCACACCTCCACTATGTACATAACACACTCCTGAACGCTGCACGTGGCGCACTCCTGAACGCTGCACGTGGCGCACTCCTGAACGGTGCACGTGGCGCACTCCTGAACGGTGCACGTGGCGCACTCCTGAACGGTGCACGTGGCGCACTCCTGAACGGTGCACGTGGCGCACTCCTGAACACTGCACGTGGCGCACTCCTGAACGCTGCATGTGGCGCACTCCTGAATGCTGCACGTGGCGCACTCCTGAATGCTGCACATGGCGCACTCCTGAACGCTGCACATAGTGCACTCCTGAACGCTGCACATAGTGCACTCCTAAACGCTGCATGCAGCATACCTGCACTCTGAATGTAGTGTACTCTTGATCCCTGAATTGTGTTTGCAGCACACTTCTGGGCCCTTTACTCTATACACTGCCCACTCTGTATGTAGCGCACTCCTGGACCTTGGAGGGCAGTATACCCTGTTTACTGCACACTCTGCACACAGAGCACTCCAAAACCCTGCCCTCTGTACACTGTGCACTCCTCAATCCTGCAATATGTTCTTAACACACCACTGAATTCTACACTTTGTTCATAGCACACTCCTCAATTCTGCACTATGTTATCAAACCACTGCTAAAACCTTGCACTCCAGCTTTAACACACTTCTCAGCTTACCACTCTGCACATTGGGCACCGCTGAATTCTACACTTTTTTGGGTAATACACTGCTGAATCCTGAACTCTGTATGTCGTGCACTCCTGAACTCTGCATTTTGTACGTAGGACACTGAGGGGTGTGGCAATGATGTAGATGGTGAGTGGTGCAATGGGGTGTGATCGTTTCTGCACCTAATTTCTTTAAAAAAAAAAGCCCTGTAGCCTCATTTACATTCGTATTTGTAACTGCTCCCCCTCCTACTGGATGCACTTGAAAACAAAGATGCATTTTGTTTTGAGACAGGGGAGGGACCAGGGGTGTGGTCAAGGGCGGGGCCAGGGGGTCAAAGGGGGCCCCATGATTCCTAACAGCAGCCCTGGGGGGCAGGGCAGAGATGTTCACAGGGCTGTTTGGAAATGAGCATGTATGCATGACCCCTGAGAAAGCAGCTTGCTCTGGGGTCACTCAGCGGGGGGGGACCTGTAGCACGGGGGGGGGGGGGGGGTACCCAAGAAAAGGAGAATTAGGGCTGCCCTGTGCAAAACCATTACACAGAGCAGGTAAGTATGACATGTTTGTTATTTAACGGAAAACAAAGTAGAACCTTTACAATCACTTTAATGCTACGTACAGTTATCTTACCTTGGCAATGGTTGTGGAGTAACATTCATAGTGCCAGCTGTATTCAGACTAGCTAAGCCCTTGGTGCGAGGTGAAGGGACCGGAGCTTTGGCTGGTGAATATGACTCCACAATCTGCACACTCCTGACCTGAGGTATTGATTCTGAAAGTGGGAGGCTGTGTGGGCTTCTCAGGCTTCTTGGACTTCTCGGTACTATAATAACCAGAAAACAAATAAAATTATTCTAATTCATCACAAACAGGTGTCAAAAAAGAGTGCTATAAAATATTTATGATAACACATTAGATTGTTAAGGTTCTTCCACACACAGCAGACTTTGCATCAGCAGGGGCTGTGTGAGCAGATCCCCATTGAGCAGAGCCAAGTGGAATGGAACACGGCAGACCCCCATTGAGTTCCATGGGCGGCTGGGTGTAAATGGACTCCGTTTACATGAGACTACCTCCACTTCGGTCCACCAAAATGGAAATGGATGCAGTCCTTTTTCGTTTTTTTTTTTTGCTTGATCCAGAGGTAGGCAGATGTAAATGGACACATGTCCGTTTTCACACACCTGTCCATAGGGAGAAGAAAGAGAAGTGCGCCAGACTAAGTGCAGTATGAATATAAAAGTTTATTGCACACAAGATTATAAAAACTCACAAGACGTGGGTAGATATCAGGCATCAATATATAAGGAGGAGGATGTCATCTGTGCTGCATCTCACAAATGGATGGCTGTAATGCCAAGGTGTTGCGTGGCTGGCGCTCTAGGCGGGTCCCACAGGAGGAGGCGAGGATGGCAGGGCTCAGTAACCGGGAGTCGCGGTGCAGATAAGAACCGGGATCCAGGACAGCCACTGCTGATCTCTCACATCAGCGTGGGTACAGTAGCCAGCTTGAGGCACATCCAAGATGGCCGCCGGGCAGAAAATGACATCAGAACGTTGCTGGGAATCCTCCAAGGGGGCGGTGACACGTTTCTAGGCAACCTGCCTTTTCATCAGACCTGATTGGCTAGTGGGATGAGCCAATAAATAAGGAGAGGAGGAAGGGGTGGGGCAACTGAGGGGCGGGGTAGTGAAATTAAAAAAAATGTATAATGCATACAGGCTTAACAAGCAGTGGTGGAAAACATAAGAAATAAACGGTGAGCAGCTGCTTTCTGTAGAACATGTGAAAGATAGGAAGAATAGAAGGAAAGGAAAGGAAAGAAATGGGAAAAAAAAAAACGCATGTGGAAGATAAAAGATTACACAGGGAATATTTAATTATAAACGTTATTACTATGATGTGGATTGTAAAGGGTAAGATGGGCGGGTAAGAAGGTGGAATATGAAGGGGGGGGGCTCTATGGACCTTTCCGAACAGGTCCTCCTGCAAAACCGACAGGCAGACCTAATCGGAATACCTGTGTTAAAGGGTCCTAATACTGTCTATGTAGGCTCAGCTACAGTAACTTTAATAGTCTGCAGATGCTAGCCCTAGTACATATAACACACACAAACCCACTTTGATATTCTGTAAGTACTTCTGTACAGTACATACATTAGCATATGTAAACAAGATATTTGTCATATTTAAAGTGGTTGTAAACCCTTACCCAGGTAACCTCAGGTGACACATGATGAAACAAATCCACCTACATAGGTTGTACCTGTTTATCTGAAGTCAATTTTCCTGTAGAGCCGTCTAGAACACACAGATTAAATTATTTTCTTAGGTACAGAAAGCAGGGGGCGAAGTTCTGACATCACACACACTACAGAGCTAGGACACAGCTCGCCAATAAAACCTGAGCGGAGGGAATGGACTCATCCCCCTCTTAACACTGACTGGTGCTGTGATTCACATGTTGGGTACTTGAGGGAGTTAGCTGTCTCCAAGGAAGCTGTTGTGTCTGCTTAGAGTGTTGCCAGTGACTCTTAAAGATAGCAGAGAGAAATGATACTCGTTGCTTTGTATTGAGGCTAGAACATAATATAGAAGGAAGTGCTTTGTTAATTTTTCATGTCTGGGGTTTACAATCACTTTAATGGACATTTACGTAGCATGCATTATATCTACAGTAAGGAACAGAAGTGTTTGAACACCCTGCGATTTTGCAAGTTCTCCCACTTAGAAATCATGGAGGGGTCTGAAATTCACATTGTAGGTGCATTCCCACTCAGAGCCAGAATTTAAAAAAAAATTCAGGAAATCACATTGTATGATTTTAAAGAATTTATTTGTCTTGCACTGCTGAACATAAGTATTTAAAGAAACAGCAAGAATTCTGGCTCTCAAAGACCTGTTACTGTGCCTTTAAAAAGTCAACCTCTACTCCACTCATTAATCTAACTTAGTAGCACCTGTCAGAGCTCTTTAAAGACACCTGTCCACCCCACAGTCAGTCAGACGCCAATTACTACCATGGGCAAGACCGAAGAGCTGTCAAAAGACACCAGAGACAAAATTGTGGACCTCCAAAAGGCTGGAAAGGGCTACGGGGCAATTGCCAAGCAGCTTGGTGAAAATAGATCAACTGTTGGAGCAATTGTTAGAAAATGGAAGAGGCTAAAGACGACTGTCAGTCTCCCTCGGACTGGGGCTCCATGCAAGATATCACCTCGTGGGGTATCACTGATGATAAGAAAGGTGAGGAATCAGCCCAGAACTACAAGAGAGGAGCTGGTCAATGACATGAAGACAGCTGGGACCACAGTTTCAAAGGTCACTGTCGGTAGAACACTACGCCATCATGGTTTCAAACCATGCATTGCATGGAAAGTTCCCCTGCTCAAGTCATCACATGTCCAGGCCCGTCTGAAGTTTGCCAGTGACCATCTGGATGATCCAGAGGAGGCATGGGAGAAAGTCATGTGGTCAGATGAGACCAAAGTAGAACTTTTTGGTCTAAACTTCACTCGTCGTGTTTGGAGGAAAAAGAAGGATGAGTTGCATCCCAAGAACACCATCCCTACTGTGAAGCATGGGGGTGGTAACATCATGCTCTGGGGGTGCTTTTCTGCGAAGGGGACAGGATGAGTGCACTGTATTAAGGAGAGGATGAATGGGGCCATTTATTGTGAGATTTTGAGCAACTACCTCCTTCCCTCAGTCAGAGAATTGAAGATGGGTCGTGGCTGGGTCTTCCGACATGACAACGACCCGAAGCACACAGCTAGGATAACCAAGGAGTGGCTCCGTAAGAAGCATATCAAGGTTCTGGAGTGGCCTAGCCAGTCTCCAGACCTAAATCCAATAGAACACCTTTAAAGGGAGCTGAAACTCCGTGTTGCTCAGCGACAGCCCGAAACCTGATAGGTCTAGAGGAGATCTGTGTGGAGGAGTGGGCCAAAATCCCTGTTGCAGTGTGTGCAAACCTAGTCAAGAACTACAGGAGACGTTTGACCCCTGTAATTGCAAACAAAGGCCTCTATACCAAATATTAACCGTGATTTTCTCAGGTGTTCAAATACTTATGTTCAGCTGTGCAAGACAAATAAATTCTTTAAAAATCATACAATGTGATTTCCTAAATTCTGTCTCTCAGAGTGGGAATGCATCTACAATGTGAATTTCAGACCCCCTCCATGATTTCTAAGTGGGAGAACTTGCAAAATCGCAGGGTGTTGAAATACTTCTGTTCCTCACTGTATATATAATAATTTTTTTGTTGACAGACAAGCCTGTAATGATAATGATGACAATATAACCAAATTATTTTTTTCTTTGCCAAAATTCTGTTTCTTACTACTTTGATGCCCAGTTCCACTTCACATCCTAGAGATTTACATTTCTGTAGTGTCCAAGGGGTTTAGAAATTCTGAGCTATATCAGACATTTTGAACCACCTCCTTTATATCACTGCTATACAGGGGAACAAACCTAAGGACTGAATCTACCAAACCACATGGAGCATAATAGTACAGGCATCACCAAGTCCCTGCACACTGACAAAGCACCCCACTATCTTTAATCTTTAAGATCTTGTATTAGAGCCAAAATGGCCATCATGGTTTATATGTAGTCTTCCCCTTCCTTTTGCCAGATGGACTACGCACAGACCATGATAGATCTGGTTAGTGGTTTTGTGGGGTGTTTTGAAGGTAAACAAAATCAGCATTTAGGCACCTAAAGGTGCCTGTCTGCATTGCTATGCCACTAGCAGGGAAAAGACCTGGTGTAAGAACATTTAGACCAAAGAGACACATGAATATGTAGACTAATACCCTGAATATTGATCTCTTCATTGTATAAAGTATATAGAGTGTCTAAAGAGAGCATTTCACTCACGTGATAGCTGTGAATTGGTGGACTGTAATGTCTCCTCACTTCTTCTCTGCTGCTTTACTCGTTTGGTAAGCACTTTCCTCAACCTGTTTTTCAGAGTCTCAAAGTCTGCAAACTTCTTCATTTTCTGCTGCTGCTGCTTCATGAGAAGATCCTTCAGATCTTTGTAGGTAGATACAGGAATTCCTTTTGCACCCTTTAATTAACATCATATAATTACATAATAATTAGCTACACTGGCAAACAATGGCAGGGCAGTACTGTAATGCTAGGCAATAAAAATACACAATCATCACAATATATATAACAGGAAGAGAGGATGTAACCTTAGCTTTACACATATCCACCAGTCAGACTAAAGCTGTCTCGGCTCTAGTGCAGTCTTTACATATCAGGTTGACTATGTAGGAAATAATCTTCTTAGCAGCAGGCATATATAAAAAGGATAACATCTACCTTTATACTCACACATGTACCGTAAACTGTGGGATTAAAGGGCGATTGAACATAAATGTGAACTTTTTTTTATTCAAAAGAGTTTTTATTATTCTTGTTGGAAAAATATAATTGATTGATAAGTTGTGCAGGTATCAAAAGATATGACAATCATCACACATTCCAACTAAAATCATAGACTATTGAATAAACAAATTAAAAGCATTAATGTTGCATTAAAACCAAGCATTCAAAATACTTTTTATTCATGTAATAGTGTGACAAAGTGTTCAGCTGGCTTTTTGCTATCAGTCGGGAAAAATTAGGGCACAGAGCTAACCAACCCAATATGTATTCCAGTACTAGAAGGACCTCAATGGCTTTGTCATTCTACTCTATTGATCTGAGAAATGTACTCAGCAGAGAAGCTTTTTACCTTTTTCACACCCATGCTTTCCAGCTTCTCAATTAACGTCTCCTCCAGGATGGGGCGGAATTGTCTGATGAAGTCAGGGTTTCTTCTTAGTTCCTCAATCTTTTTCATAGTTTGGTCTAGAGTTACATCCAACTCTGCACACAGCAGACAGACAAGAAGAACATTGTAACAAATGCAGTAACATGTTTCAGGGATAACATCACTGTATGCAGCTCTTTGTGTACTATGGTGTGCTAGTAGCCCAAAGTTTTTTTTTGACACAATGCATGCAAATAGTTAAGCACTTAAAGTGCATATAAAGATAGATGAGGAAAGAATTAAATTCCCCATCAAGTTATTTTAACTGAGAAAGGGTGCATGATTCTTTCTCTATAGTCTTCAATGTGGCCTTTGAAACCTGTGAGAGCTGATTACCTAGGGTTCTACACACTCCTACACTCATAGTTGAAATACTAAGTACTTTGAGGATTCAGCACCATTGTTTCCATTTCTGTAAGCAAGTATTTATTGCTCTTTGTGTCCCCAGTAGAGAGATTCAAACTCCTATTAGTCCTGGAGAGTTTCAGACTCCTATTAGTCCTGTTGACTACTGTCACTGAAACAGCAAGTGACGTGAAACCGAAATTTTAGAGTTCTCACCAGGACCAAAAGTTATGCTAAATCTTTTAATTTGGATTCTTGTTCTGGTGACAACTGTTTAAGGTGGGATTTTCTCTTACTTCCTGTTGTGTTTTCACAACAGGAAGTGAACACACAATCTTTCCACTTGGAGACAGACAGCAAAAAATTAGATAACAGGGCTTTTAATTATTCTCTATTATATCCAAACAAAAAAAATTTTTTAAGTATACACATGTTAAAATGGCCATACACATTTATATGTATAAGAGAATAATTTCTACACACACTCTTTTAGTTTCACCAACCAAGTATGCAATATGAAGGCCTTAGTAAACAATCTTTATAGTTTGTATCCAACCAGGCATGCCCTTGTGTCTTACAGTTGTTGGTATACTAAAGAAGAGTGTACAATTAGGCTGTAACATGCATGGCCAACTGTGTTTCAGATGCTATTTATGTTTAAAGAAATGATTACATTCATGCATGTGCACACACCAAATCAAGCTTTACTGAATGCCTAAAAATTACATTCCACCTACCATCTCCACTGGAATCATCCTTAGCACTTCCAACAGGCAGAACCACGCGAGATGCTTGTGGTACTGTTTTAAAAGACAGCAACAAATTACTAAAAAAATTACTAAAAAAATTACTAAAAAAATTATTTGGCAAACATATTTGGCAAAAGTGGTTTGTTTCCAAGAGTGGTCCAACTATAAATATCCCATTGTAATGTACATGTGAGGTCATTCAATTTGACCAGCTAAATTTTAATATTTGTGTTCAATCCAGAATCATTAAACTACCTTAACACAACAGTCTACTTAATTATCTCATTCTGCCCACAAATGTTTGTTGAATTAAATAAAAAACATACTGTACTGTCAGATTTTTTTAGATCACTGCGTATTTATCATCTAACCTTTTATAGAATTCATCATATAAACTTTGTATAAAAGGCCTTCATTGGGAGTCTTTTTTTCTTCAATAACTTCTTTACAAAATTGTTACATACAGAAAATGTCATTATACATATTGACAAGGACATTGTGGATTCAAGTTTATTATGAAAGAAAACTTGTGACATATATGGAAGTTACAACAGCTGACTTGTTTTCAAAAGTGCAGTTTTGGTGGCCATCATCCATGGCTGCACTACCTAATCAGTTACTGACCTGGAATAACCATGCAGCCAGTGATAGCAGAAAAGCTTCAGCTCCCTTGCTTCATGTTTTTTCCAAATCAATTACTCATTAAGAAGTGAAGCCAAGACCAGGATGACAGCCTCATAGCTGCTTTTGGCTGTACTTCTCTTGTGGATCACCGGAGTGCAGCTCGTGACCCATTTTCAGCTGACAGTGGGCTGAAGCCCGCTGTCGGCTAACTTCACTCAGCTGGTCCAGGCTGAGGAAAGATTCCGAGTTCAAAGTTGGGATCCACCCCAGAGTCTGGAGCGGCACTTGGCTCAGCCAGCCGTCCCTCCCCCTCCACAGCCCAGTGCTCTAGTGAGCTCTGAGGGGGCAGAACAGACAGTGGTGACTGACAGTCCCGCTCTCTGCTTAGAGCAGCTGTGAAAACTCAACGATCAGCGGCCATGTGATCTCTGAGTACTCACCCTTAGAGCCGGCAGGGGAAAGAAGCAACATCGGACTGAAGCTGCATCCACCTCGGTAAGTATAAAGGAAAAAAAAGCCTAAACCCATACTTCTCTTTTAAGGTTTCTAATGCATTCTATGCATTAAGGTGAAAAACCTTCTGTGCTGCATATCCCCCCAAGTACCCTTCTTATTCTTATCTGAGCCCAACCCGATCCAGTGATGTGCACAAGAGAATTGGCTCTCACTGCTGTTTCCCTTCTCCCTAGACAGATTGATAGCAGCAGGAGCCATTGGCTCCTACTACTGTCAACCTAATGCTGTGCCAAGCGAGCAGGGGGGAGAGCCGTGACGCCCACTCGGTGTCAATGGACCCAGACAGGGTCCTAGCTGAAGAGGTAGAACCTGGAGAGCGGGCGGGGGACTCAAGAAGTGGAGGACGGGGCTGCTCTGTGCAAACCCATTGTACAGAGCAGGCAAGTATGATAGGTTTTTTATTTTAATTAAAAAAAAGAAAGCTTTAATGTCACTTTAAGGAAGATTCCCCTTTTAGCTTTTAGTTTAAGTACAGTTCTGTATAACTGTAGCTCTTACCTTCCTTGATCTCAATCTCTTTGATTTCTTTTCTTGCAGCCAGTTCCCTAATCTAGAGAAATTGGGTAAAGGAAAGGTTATTACATTGCGTACAAGCGAGTTGATTTAATAATAGGGGTTAACCCAGTCAAGCTGCATCACTTTAGGTGAAAAGTAAATTCCTGTTTACTTATTACATCTGCACATGGTTAGGTAATTACAGTGAACAAGAAGTTACTTTTCATGTGATTGGATAATTGAAGTAAATATTCACAATATTCTTAACTCCTTAAATCTACTTTAAGCCCCAGTTCACACTGCTGCAACTTATGCGACTTGAGACACATAGGGGTTTATTTACTAAAGCTGGAGAGTCCAAAATCAGACCCCCTTCTGCATAGAAACCAATCAGCTTCTAACCTCAGCTTGTTCAATGAAGCTTTGGCAATGAAACCTGGAAGCTGATTGGTTTCTATGCAGAAGTGAGTCTGATTTTGGACTCTCCAGCTTTAGTAAATAAACCCCATAATGTCGCATGACAAGTCAAAACACATTCATTTCAATAGGTGCCGTCTTAATCAATGCAACTCAAAATGCAGCTAGAAAATAAAAAGGTTCCTTCACTACTTTTCTGTGACTTTGGTGCAACTTGAGTGCCATAGACTGTAATGTTAAATCACAAAAGTTGCAAGCAAGCCAAAGAAGTTGCAAGCGAGTTGCACGACTTTGGGGTCACAGCAGTGAAAACAAAGCCTAATACACAGTGATACAGTATCACTGTGTTTATTGTGGGACCTAGCAGGTCCTCCCACTCTAGGCAACTACAGGCGATACAAGACCAGTCAAGCTGCACAAGACTGACTTCTATTACAGGAAGCTCCTACACAGAGCCTTTGTATAGGAGTTGCCTTATCTCGGATTACCTTACAGTTCTGAAAAAAATACACCAGGAAAACCAAGATTCAAATGAAAAAAAACATTACTCTTGCATATTATTTGCATCTCAGCAAAATATACTCCCCCATATGGTTAGCTTTAGAACCCTTAAATAGACCTAAACCCAAAAGGTAAAGCTTTGGAACGTTATGGGGATTATTTAGAAATGCTATTTGTGCTTATGCAAAACCCTTAAAGTGTAACTTCACCTTCCTTGAGAAAAAATCTCCTTTAGATGATCTAGGTACATTGCAAGGATTCAACACACTTTGTAACGATTCACACATTTCCCTGTTTTGAGGAAAAATGTATTTTGTGCAATTATTAAGAGTGATTTCTGAATGAAGGGCCAGCACTCATAGCCAAGTAGTGCTCTTTAAGTGTTCTCATAAAGAAAGTTGCAGCATCTGCATTGCCAAAGAAATACTTAACCCTTAGGAAGCATATCACCAAATATGAAATTTCTTTCGTAGAGGATGCTTAAAATTTTACTTGTATCTTAGTGCAAACACCAGAGACAAATCAGTGAGCCAATCACACAAGCAGTAAATGACATTCGTGAGGGCATTTTGCATAGCAATGAACTACAAAACGCCTCCAGGTTGCCATACTGCATTTCAAATTTTGTCTGAAATGGAAAAATAATTTGTATAGCATTACATTACAAAATGTGGCAATTTTATATTCTATATTACTTCTTTTTAATGAGAATTCCCTTTAAATTTTACCTTTGTTCTGGAAGTCTCCATTAAAAAAACTGAACTTCCTGGTATGAGGGGGTGCTCTCATGTGCAGTGATATCTAAGGCTCTGACTGCTAGAAGGCAATTTGATGATCTTACTACTGTGATCCCATTATTCTGTTTGCTGGAAGCTCTCTTTCAGTTACGTTTCTCTTCAAAATGAAAAGATACCTCACTGAAGGTTAACTGAAGGCATAGATTAGTGCATTCATTCTCAATTCCCCAATAGATTATCAAATCTGAAGATCTTCCTCAAATTTATTGTATGTGAACCACATCGGATTCAGAAAACCCTTAGTACTAGAAAAATTCAAGTCCATAGTCTTCTCACATTCAGCATACAATCTGCCCACCAATTCACTCATACAGTAGTTGTGTGTAAAAGGAATCTAAGCCTATATTCCTTATTGCATCATCATATTCATCCAATATGATTCATAAAAAATCTTTATTTTTATAGGACCCCATGAGCTTCTGTTAATATGCTGTTAAATTGCACTTTCATTTATGAGAAATATTTTATTACTTCTTCCTAGAATTTATCTCTTAAAAGTTTTAAGTTGGTCAAAGACTCAAGAAAAAGGTTAGATGGCAACTCCAATCCTACCATCAAATGAGCACTCTGGAAATGATCTGTACAAAACTATATACTCCTGTATTGCTTGGCCTTTTCTTGGGTGAAATAGTAGTGGTTGACTAGAAATATCCAAACTGGACATCTGACTATTTCCCTATGACAGCTAGCCAAGATTGTGACAAAGTGCCAAAATGATCATTGCTTAATCCAGCCACAAGCAATTGAAGCAGCTATGACCATTTTAGATCCATTTCGAAATTCTACTCTCAGTTGTCATGGGATGCTAAAATCTTTACAGCAGAATAGCAAAAATATGTATTCTTAGATCAAAGGACACGTGTTATGTCATTAGAACACATTTCTATAAACACGTTAAGTACTTTTTTTTATAATATAAGCTTCTAAATTTCGTACACTAAAAGCAGAGTTCCACCCAAAAGGAGAAGTTCTGCTTTAAGGCCTTGTCCTCGACTCCCCATTAAGGATTTGCACCTTTGGGGAGACCAGGGGGAAGGGAGGTAGGTGAGCATGTGTGTGCGACTTTTACAGGTACCCGCTCCCACTTCCGCTGCGATCACCTAGGTGATCAGAAGCGGAAGTTCTCCCCCCCCCATTCTACTGGGACACGAGACAGGTCCCAGCGGACTGCGGGACTATTCACAATGCACGGCATTGCTCGCGCATGCGCAGTGGGCACCCGTCTGTGAAGCCACAAGCTGTCACAGCCGGGTGCTCACACTTAAGATGCCAGGGACACAGGATGGGCGGTGAACTTGGCTATGGCGAGGACAGCGCTGGATCCTAGGAGAGGTGAGTGGCTGTTTTTTTTTAAAAATCAGAAGCTACAGTTTTTGTAGCTGCTGACTTATTTTTTTCTCTCTTGTCCATGGCTTAGACACAGCAGCAGGAGCCATTGGCTGTGAGAAGGGAACTGGAGCAGGGCCGAGCCGCACTGTGTGTGTCTATGGACACACAGAGGCGGTTCAGGAGTAAGCTCACACGAGTGCAAGTGGCTTGCTATGGGGTCAATCAGAAGGGGGGGGGAGGAGCCAGGACCGCTGTTGGGGGACCCCGGAAAAGGAGGATCAGGACTGCTCTTTGCAAAACCATTGCACAGAGCAGGTAAAAAATGGAATCTTTACAATCGCTTTAAGTTCCATAGCTGGCACAATCCTTAAATTCAGGAATGACCATGTAGTCATATTGATTGCTAAACAAGCCTAAAGTATCTAAACCCAAGCACAAAATGTAATATACTGCAGCTCATCCGCCCTTTAGGTCTAGAGGCAACATTTGGTTTTTTTAGGCTTTTTCCTTTATTTTCATCTGGTAAACTTGCTGTTAATGCACATCCTCTCCTAGGGTGACAACACTTACTGTACTGCATCTATAGAGAAGCCATACTGTCATCCTCTCCTCAATTATTTATATAGCAATGACAGCAGTTTACATACTGTACATTCCTATCAGCCTCTGCTCTCAAGGAGCTTACAATCTAAGGTCCCTAACTCACATGTATACATACACATATTAGAGCCAATTCAAAGTTGCCAATTAACCTGCTAGTATATCTGGAGTGTGTCAGGAAATCAGAGCACCCACAAGAAAACTGCGTACGCACAGGGAGAACATGAAAACTCTATGCAGATAATGTCCTGGCTGGGATTCAGATCAAGGCAGAAGTTCTAACCACCAAGCCATTTTGCTACCCACTACAAATGCATTTTCCTTTGAGCATCTCCATTGAAAGGATGGGGGGATTAGAAGTATACCAAAGATAGCTTGAAAGAAAGATAAGGTTCTTTGTCATTTCAGTTCAGTCCACAGGAAGATTCATAGATCCAGAAATTCTAGCAGGATTAATAGGTATTTTTATGTATTTGCAGAAAATTTTCTTAGCTTGCAAAATAATTTCAATCTAGTTTTAGGAATGTACTGTAATATGATGAGGTAATGCTGTCTAATATAATGATGTCATATTTGTGCAAGGCACCGTATTATTCTAGTCAAGGTACCCTAAGAAGTCTGCACTTACCTTGTGCTCCTGTGACTTGATGAGCTTCTTCTGGCTTTGTATTGTAGAGTTCAGTGTCTGCACCGTTGACTCGAACTGTTCATCTCTGGCCCTCTGATCATTAGACAAGGATGCTCTCAGTCTGCTGTTTTCATTTAGAAGCTGCAGAGCACAAGACAACAATATCATTGCTATACGTACAGAAATATCTTGACTATGAATATTGAATAATGTATGCATTACCAAAGTGTATCTTTTCATTCAAAATTAGGCTTTTATTATTATATTTTGGGGTTCCCAAATAACAATACTGAGTCAATAAAGTTGATTGTGGGCTCTGTGTCTGTTTGTAACATACTGTATTTCAAACAAATACAGGAAATATAAGGAAAGAAATGGGTCTTAGTAAAGCAGGGTATACATTAGTAGCATTTCAAATGAAAATTCATACAAAAATTTACAGTCAAATGTTGAAAGTAGTTCAAGATTTTGTTTGCTTTTAACAGTCAATTTTGAAATGACTTTACCAAACGAAAACCATATACACTGTAAGAAATTTGTACAGTCAAGAAACATTTTGCATCCTGCTCTTACTAAATTTTTTGTCACTGTGGTTGAAAATGAATGCGGATTGGTAATGATTGGAAAAGGGAACAAACGTTCTTTCAATATTCTTACAATGAAAAATGTCAAATGAAATTCTACTAGTGTATACCCAGCTTAAAATGTTCAAGAACTATAAGAAGGTTGGGATCACAAGACATGATTATGTATTTAATTTGAAAGAGCTTCTTGTTGTCAATACTTATGCAAAGACTATCAGCTTCAATCCCTCTTAACATATCAAGCTGGTCAGAAGCAAGTTTTTGTCTCATGATCTCCCCTGACATTCAGGTAGGTATATACTTTAGTCCAATTCGTTGTTTCCTAGCATATTATATATCTGTAGGCCTAGCATTAAAATGATGCTTATTTTTTAAAGCTCAGGTTTAGGTATGATTTTTATAGCATAGTTACATTGGTCCAACTTGGGCTAAAGTAGGTATGAATATCACATATCTGTGCAATCCTTGGGTAAGCTTCAATTTACTGTAGCAGTTGCTGATGTTACGGTGACAGCAGCAGTCTTCTGGTTCCAGTGCTGAATGACTATCTAACTGCATGGTAACTACAGGGGGTCACCCGCTTGCCACTGCCACCATTTAGAGAAAGCCTTGTATTTTTTAATGACTATTAAGTATTCTCTGATTGGATGAGGTAGAGGGACAGAGCAGTGACCTGATCTGAATACCAGGACCATCTGATCACAGAGCATGTTTTACACAACTTGCAAATGTATTATCTAGTGTATGTTGGACTATTCCCCATTACTGCTTAGGAGACAGTAGAGTGTAGTTGTAGAATGTCTATGCGATAACAGCAGAAATCCTGAACCATAAGATATACCCATGGCTCATCATTGCTAGATCCACCATCTATTAGATACATCAAGTGTATAACCAGGGCACACTGTGGAAGCAGCATCTGTAATGAATATGAGTCGTCATAAATCTAAAATAAAAGGTTAAGCCTGTAGCTACAAAGGAGCATTAAAAATCATGTTCTTTTTCATTCACTTTAAAATCAATTAAATGAGAACTCAAATGGAACTCTATGTGTTTATGGTAGGGCAGGAAATGCATCTTGCAAAAGCTGATTTGATGTTCCCATTAACAAATACAAAGTATGAATGATTGCTTCAGGGTATCAGTGTACTACCATACTTTAACATAGATCCTCAAAGTGTCATTATACTGAGACCCCAAATTATGAGATGACATGGTCACAGGGCTGACCTGTGAACCCACAATCTTTTTTATCACCCCATCTAAGCTAATAACTCACAAATCAGACATCCCTAGTAAAAACCATGATAAATAAACATTTTCATCTATATTACTGTATATACTAAAACAAAACATATCATGTAATAATTGTTATTATTATTACTATTATTTACCTCTGATTTTTCTGACTTGTGTTCTTTCTTTATTTCCTTTAACTTATTTTTCCATTCCATGCTCTAAAACAACAAAAAGTTATGATATTTGAGAAGCAGTTCCCACCATTTATGAATGCACCAAGCAAGGCACTATAGCCCACTGTGAAATAGAGGAGTCATAGGTTTGTATATGCTTGTCTCCCCTTTTCACCATAAGCTAATTACATGTGGTTTAGTTTTAATTTAATTTGTAGTTCTGTAGCACTTTTCTCCCTGGACAGCCAACTTGGGGGAATTCAGTTGCACCAATTAACCTTCCAGCATGTCATTAAGTGTGGGAGGAAACCCACATATATACAGGGAAAATATGCAAACTCAATGCAGTGTCCTGGATGGCATTTGAACCAAGGCAAAGCAGAAGTGCTAACAACTAAGCCATTGAGGGGGAGTTTAGGAGGATTTCACCATTCTGGTTACGCCATTGTTAAACCTGCAAGTAGCACTGTGGGTAAAACCTAAAATTGCAGCATCATTTTCTAGTGACAGAAGCTACCTACTGTATGTCATTTAGTCAAAACCATAAAAGTGTTAAAAAATATATATTTATTTGAATACCGACCACCCCCTCCCCCTCCCCCTCAAAAAAACTACACTCCCTCGGCCTCAGAGATTCCGCTCTCTCCTGGCTCTCATCCTACCTATCACAGCGCTCCTTCAGCGTTACCTATAATGCTACCACCTCCTCCTCACTCCCCCTCTCTGTTGGGGTCCCTCAAGGCTCCGTCCTTGGACCCCTTCTCTTCTCCATCTACACCTCCTCCCTTGGCCAACACATGCACTCTCACGGCTTCAACTACCACCTCTATGCCGACGACACACAAATCTATCTCTCAACCCCCCACCTCACCCTCTCAGTCTCCGCCCGAATCACAAACCTACTGAACGACATATCAGACTGGATGTCGCTCCACTTCCTAAAACTGAACCTCTCCAAAACCGAGCTCCTAGTCTTCCCCCCAGCCCGGACCCCACCCCCCATTGACTTCTCCATCACATCCAACAATGTCACTATCGGACCCGCCCCACAGGGCCGAGTACTTGGTGTCATTTTGGACTCCAACCTATCCTTCCAGCCCCAAGACCAATCATTAACAAACTCATGCAGACTCCACCTCCGCAACATCGCCAAAATCCGAATGTTCCTAACACCAGAAACCACTAAACAGCTCATCCACTCCCTCATCATATCACGACTCGATTACTGCAACTCCCTCCTCACTGGCCTGCCTCGCCACTGGCTATCCCCGCTTCAGTCGATCCTGAATACGGCTGCCAGACTCATTCACCTTTCCAACCGCTCCATCTCCGCCACCCCCCTCTGCCAATCCCTCCACTGGCTTCCGATTCCGGATCAAATTCAAAATCCTAACACTGACGTACAAAGCTGTCCACCATACTGCCCCAAATTACATCACCGACCTAATATCTAAGTACCGCCCAGCACGCACACTCCGCTCCTCACAAGACCTCCTTCTCTCTAGTTCCCTGGTCTCCTCTCCAATACCCGCCTCCAGGATTTCTCCAGGGTGTCACCCATCCTCTGGAACTCCCTGCCCCAACCCATCAGACTATCACCTACTCTCCTCTCCTTTAGGCACACCCTGAAAACCCACCTCTTCAGGGAAGCCTACCCCACCCCCTGCTAATTTGCCGACCTCCTCCAATCCTCCTATCACTCCATCCCCCACAGCTATCTCCTCCTGTACCACTATCCCCTCCCTCCGAGATTGTAAGCTCGAAAGAGCAGGGCCCTCGAACCCCTCGTGTATCGCATTGTATTGTTACTGTACTGTCGCATGTTCTGTCCCCCATTGTAATGTACAGCGCTGAGTGAACTGTTGGCGCTTTATAAATACTGTATAATAATAAAATAATAATAAAGGAAATGGCAATAATTCACAGTACTGTTGAGCTAAAGGGAAAAATGCCTTTTCTGCCTAAATGTTTAATATTATTTTAATTGCTAAAAATTTCTGTGATAAATAAATTATACAAGCAGAAGCCCGGATCCCATGACTTGTTTGCCTGGGAAACTGTTTCTGCATTAAACAAATTGATTACCATGATTTACCCCTTCCTCAGATATTTACCAGTCTCTCTCTTTCCTCCCTCATGTTCAGTATCTCCTTCTGTAGTTTCAGACGCTCCTGTCGCTCTTCTTCATCCAAGAGCTCACCAAGATTGGTGGATGTGATTTTTTTAGACTCCATCTCTTGAAATTTCTAATAAATAATGAAATGTACAACAATGCTGTATTAGACTAGTTTTAAAACAACATGATTTATGACACCTATCTATCATATTCCTGATTGGTTCATAACTGAATTGCACAACTGTTTTCTGCCAGAGCTCAGAAGATCTGCTGTAAAGACTCAAACATTGTGTCTGTTAGGATAAGAGCTATGTATGGAAAACATTAAATATAAAAGATTAGGAGTTCAAGGAAATATCTTTTACATTAGCTCATTCTGAAGAAATTAGCTCACAAAAAAACTTCTTCTAAATCGGTCATTCCAAATGGTATGGGGACTCACTTTTGTCCAAGTATAGTTTCCACAGACAGTCCTATCCACTCCTCTTGGAAACCCCTTACCATGCTTTTGGTTGTCACCATTTTATTTTCTAAAACACATCATCTTAAAGGAAGCGGACCACAGTAAAGGAAAAGCCAACACAGAAAATCATCAATAAACTACTTCTTTATTGGCTCACAATATAGAAACCAGTGCAGATAATGCGCTTATGCATTTCAGTAGCTAAGCCTTAAGCCCCGTACACATGGGCTAAATATTGGAAGGTATTGGATGGTTCAATACAAACCAGCCGACATTCGGCCCGTGTGTATGGCAGCTTGTCCGTCAGAAGATGGACATCCGTCTGGCTTCTGTTAAAGGGGCGTGACCGAAAAAGGTCTGTCAATTGGCCTCCAATCAGTGCTCTCAGCGAATGGCTGCGAGTGCTGACTGGTGTTTCCTCGGGTGAGGGGGAGCAGCCCCCCTATCAGAACACAGCAGCACTGCGGAGGAGATAGCTGTAC